AACAGTGGGAAGTAGCAGGAAGCAGTGGGAAGTACTGGGAAGCAGTGGGAAGTACTGGGAAGCAGTGGGAAGTACTGGGAAACAGTGGGAAGCAGTGGGAAGTACTGGGAAGTAGCAGGAAGAAGTAGAGCTAGAATGAGGTTTCAGGAAGATGTGATGATGATCTGGAAACAGGCTGTGACCATCCAGGTTAGTGGTTCTCAATCTGTGGGTCACCACCCGTTTGGGGATCACGTATCAGATATTTACACTATGATTCACAACAGTAGCAAAATGACAGTTATGAAGTAGCAATGAAATAACTTTACGGTTGGGGTCAGCACCACATGAGGAACTGTATTAAAGGGTGGCAGCATTAGGAAGGCCGAGAACCACTGTTCTGTGTGTTTTGCTTGCTGCTGGAAACGTGCACAGGAATGCAAGCTGACTGTAATCGGGGGAGACACTTTTACGGTCTACACATTTATCTGACTGGATTCTTTATCTCATGTACAGTGTTATTCTAAAAACACGTGTAGAAGCTAAAGAGACAGCTCAGCAGTTAGGAGCTTATGTTTTTCCAGAAGAGCCAAGTTCAGTTTCTAGAACCCATATCGGGTGGTTCTCAGCTATGCGCCAACTCTGGGGAGGGATTTGATTCCTCTGCTCCCAAGGGCATCTGCATTCATAGGCACAAACACCACACACAGATACACATAATTATGAATAATGAGCTGGGTATTGGCGGTGTGCACCTTTAACTCCATGACTTGGGAGGCAAAGGTAGGCAGATCTCTATGAGTTCAAGGCCAGCCTGGTCTACAGAGTAAGTTCCAGGACAGTCAGAGAAACCCAGTCTCAAAATAATAAAATAAAATAATTAAAAGAAAATCTCTTGAAAACTCCATGTGAAAATATGAGCCTTGAATAATAACGAAGAATGAAATTCTTCTATGGGAGACCCCGCTGGAGGTGAGGACACGTCAGCACAAACTGCCATGAAGTCACAGGCAGTACTTCCAGGCAGCAGGAAGTTGAGCTCCACTGACCTCATTTCCATCACTTCCCGCCTGCTTTCTTCGTATTTGTCCCTCCACTCGGAGACTTCTCTCTCCTTGGAGATAACCTAAGGTCAGGGAGAAGAGACAGGCGGAGCCCAGGTGAGCGCATTCAGTTCTGACCAAATCCAGGACACGTCATACACACACGGGATGAAAACATCTCACATAGAACCAAGATTCCATTCAGAGAATTCTCCAAGCAGGAGAAATAAAGATTACCTAAGGGCCACGGGGAGGAGGGGACCATGATGAGGTATTGTCTACAGCACATCAGTCATACCTGTTAGCATGGTAACTAGGCAGACCAGAACCCACGTGTGCCACCCAGCCAGCTTGCAGTATTTAGAGGACGGTCTGTCTCCAAAGAGCAGCTACATGGGTAATTACGGCTACTGACAGCTAGTAGATTCAGGCCCTATCCCAGCGTCAAGAATATGGACGGCCCTTGACACCACAGGTCTCATACCTCTGCTCTGGCAACTTGGAGTGCAGAATCCAGGTCTGGCTGCTGGAACAGAAGGCCCGGAGGTTTCTCCACCTCGGTGGGCCCGATGCGGGAGTACAAGGCAGTTTTGGAGATGGAGACATCTGGTGGGTGAGCAGCTTCCCTCTGTGGGTGGTTTTGGTGTTCATTAAAGAGAGAAAGAAACAGGACAGTCAGCACTAATGGCACGACAGACAGGGCTGCACGCATTGAACCGCATTCAACCGCTCAGCTGTATGGTTTCGAAAACAAAGACCGTTGGAGGCATGAGAAAATGCAAAGACTCACGGATGGGGGTAATGCCAGGTCCAGGGGATGGAAAGCCTTCATGTTGCACATATGCAGGCACACAAAGGGGCTAATGAGATGGCGGCCTCTGTAACTAGGAGCCCTGGGGGCTCAGCCTGTCTGTGGCCTGCTTATCACGGCCATTTATCAGGTGCTGAGCCAACTAGGCACTGTAAGCAAAGACCAGCCATTATTCTGTTGGCCCCACTTCCAAAGGAAAGTCTTGCTGGAGACTGATTCTGAATGCTGGTCTATATTGCCTGGTTTTGAATAGCTGAAGATTAGATCATTTTTGTGACCTGCCCACATCTAAATTTGCTTTCCTATGGCTCAAGTTTACAAAGATGTGATCTGCCCAAAATTTGAAGCCTACTAGTGTATCAGTTTTGTCTAGGTTTGAGAGATGCTGCCATTAAGTCTGCTCTATAATGGCGAAGAGGAAAGCTGGGGTCAATGACAGTATCTATCTGCGTTTCCTGGCGAAGTCTACAGCAAGCAATGCGATGCCCTACCCCACCCAATCTACAAATAGGGGTACATGGTTATTCTTCCTTTACGTAGAACATTAACCAAGTTGCAACACAGTGTTAGGAGCATTGTCAACCAGCATGGCCAGGCTTGTCAGCCTATCTCCACGGCAACAAAAACATCCAATCAGCCACTCTCAGTCCTATGCATTAACCTCCCGGTGCTGGCATGGCTGCCGAAGCTTCCACCCTCGTTAGAATACAGGTCAGTGCTGCAGTGGGAGGCGATGGTGGTCTACTGGGCAGAGCGGGACTGCTCCATCCTTGGAGAACTAGGAGGGAGAACTGAGTACTACACATAACACCTCAGTTTTGTAGACGGGGCGAGGAGACAGGAGGGTGAGGGCTGAGAAATGCACAGAGAAGACGAGAGCTTCAGTGGGCATGGGAAGGGGTGGAGCTGAAGGCCCAGCGGCAGAACGCTTATAAACACAGGAATCGCTAGCCCTACCAGTAGCTCCTCACTAGAGTACCAGGGCTAAGGGCCTAAAAAGGGAGATAGAAAATGCAGGTAGAAGAGCAATGGATAGGACTGGAGGTGGTGACAATTTAGAACCATTAGTGTTCACATGCAAGGTGCACACAACAGTTTAGCTGTCCTGGAAAAACACCTGCTGGGACTTGTTCATTGTCCCTGCCTGCCCTGAAGATCTTGAGCTACCCCCCAAATGACTCACTGACCCGGCCTACCCTCAAGACTTTGGGCTTATCCTCAAATGGCCCTCACGGACCACCTGATTCTCACTGCTCATGCCTGCCCTGAAATGCCCGGACTCACGCTCAAGTGAGTCACATGATCAGCCGTCAGAGTTAGGAGCACACAGACCTGGTCAACCAGAACAGAGATTCCGTTCACATGTCAGATGGGATGCCATGAACGTCTTTCTCAGTTTCTGGTCCCAGGGAAGTCTGTTTCTAGGACATCTACCTAGAGCACAAGCTACCAGCCCCTGGCAGCAGGCAGTCGGATCCCTCAGGAGAAAAGTGCCCCTAGGCGGCGGGGCAGAGGCTCCGCGTGAAGGGTTTTAGCTCTGTTCTTGGAAAGATGCTGCTTCACTGAAGGAAACGTCCCAGTAGTAACTGGAAAAGCACAGCCCGAAATCGCCACTCAGGAGTTGCAGTCAGAAAAGCTCACAAACACAAGATTATACAGAGAACTTAAAAGGAAAAAACAAACTCTATTCTCTTCACTTTTAAATGTGCTCTTTGAAAAAAATGGAGCTACAAGGGGGCTGAAGAGATGGCTCAGTGGTCAAGAGCACCAGCTGCTGTTCCAGAGGAGTCAGATTCAATTCCCAGCACCCATATGTTGGTTCACTTTGTTATTCCAATCCCAGAGGATCTGACACCCTCTTCTGGCCTCTATGGGCACTAGGTATACACATGGTGCAGACACATGCAGGCAGGTGAAAACCCCATAAAGTACATTTTTAAAAATCTGAGAAAAATAAATAAATAAAATTTCAAAGTGAACATGTTGAAGCTGTTAAATTCAGTCCGGAACTTCTGAAGACAGATGCAGGATGTGAGAGGCTGGGCCTAAAGGTTTCTCCAAATGAGATTCAATTCTACCTCAAAGTAAAGCAACTCCTAGCAGTGCGAGAGTAAAAGAATAATGAAAATGAATTACATATCACACAGGGCAGGAGCTAAATATGACAAAGGAACACATTAGAGACGGTCAACATGCCTGATGTCCTTTGTAAAACAAGGAAGGAATGAAAAAAATAAACACAGATTTCTAAAAGGATGCAGTAGCCAGACCCCAGATGCCGCTCTTCATCCACAACCTCTCGGCATCTTCAAGCAGGGAACGAACAGTTTCGGGACCACCTCGACTCCCCGCCTCCTCCAGCTATCTGTGGGATGATGAATTTCAGGACCCACACCTCAGGCCTTTCTTTTAAGCCACGAATGTTCCCAAGTGAACGTAAAGGTTTGTCTCTCACTAATATTTTAAGATCAGTTATTTTTATAACCAGTGCAATTTCTCTTGCACTTAGACCTGCTGCTTCACACAGGCCCAAATGCCACCAGTTCCAAAGGCACAGATCTTCGCTGCCACCTTCAACCCGCTATGCTGTCTCGAGTCCCGGAAACTATGAAGTTCCTCAGGCCACTATCTCCCTTTCAGATTCCTGGGCCATGATTCTCGCCGTAGGGTTTGGGGGCAGGACATCGCCATCATGGCACTGTCCCCACAGCAGCAGGAGGCAAGCTCAGATCTGAGACTTCGGGGCCACACAGGGGAGGTCAGGCACCAGGAAAGCCAAGCTAAGGCTTGAGGTCTCAGGGAGGGATCTGGGCCATGCGGCACCATCCAGGCAGGAGAAGGACCTCGGCCGGATGCTACACATCCAAATCGGACAGCAAGTGGTTTCCAAGCGCAGGAGTTGCAAGCCCAGATGAGACACTTGGAGACTTGGAGCCACACTTCAGTCCCACTCCATGGAAGGCATCATCACTAGACATCACCTAGCTGTGCCTGCCCGTCACGTCAAGGCTAAAATATAGGCTCCAACCAGATTCTGAAGCTGGAAAGCAAACTGAAGCCCATCGACGAGTCCTCTATCGGTCTTCTTCAGACTGTTTTGTGGCTTCCAGGGATGTGTCCCAACTTTGGACTAAGCAGCGAATGGTGGACGAAGGAGTGAGTGACTTCTGTGAGAAGCTCATGAAATGATGCTGGTATCCTTGACAACAATACACTGCCCTTGACCAGATGCTGGACGGCTCGACAACAATACACACCCCATTCTTGCTCCAGCTCCCACCAACCCTAGGCACCTGCTCACCTAAGCCAGGTCTCTTGAGGGAATCCCACACAGCCTCGCCCTCCGTGTGGGGACTGTTCCCAATCTAAAGCTTGCCATTTGGATAATCATGTTCCTAAGTTGCCTGAACACATCTTTCCAGTCTTCCATCTTCATCTTGGGCCCCCTTATCCAGGCCAACAGGTCTAAAGTTTACAACCAGTTGGTCATTCATGCAAAATTTGCCAGTATGCCCGGATACCCATACCTTCGAAGGCCAGAGACAGGACTGCTGGGCATTGATCTCAGGGCTGCTGCATTACGTATTGAGAGGGCTTACTCAAACTCATTCCTTGGAAGACTAATGGACGCAAGTGGGAGAAACAGAATAAGAAAACCACAGCCCAGAGGGAGTGGGAGTTACTATATGAAAATAAATTCTTTTTTTTTTTTTTTTTTCAATTATAAAGCTGGACAGGGTATGTGAGCATGACTTTGAGAAGGGGAAAGGGGCAATCCAGGAGGCGTTGGAAGGGCAAACATGATCAAAATACATTGTATGCACGCATGACATTCTCAAAGAATATTTTTAAAATAATAAAAAATAAAAAGAAAGTCACGGCCAACACCAGCCCAGCTCCTAGGGACTGATTCTGAGCAGGAGGACACAGACGGCTCACTGTAGTTCTATGGAAGCTGACCCAGCACCTCAAAGCTGCTCTGAATTTTCATCCCCTTAAAATTATTCCCTTCCTCCTAAGTGATTCCATTTTTTTGTGATCCATGATTTTTTTGGGGGGGTGTGTCTTTTGTTTGTTTCGTTTTTTGAGGCAGGGATTCTCTGTGTAGCCCTGGCTGTCTTGGAACTCGCTCTGTAGACCAGGCTGGCCTCGAACTCAGAGTGATTAATGGTTTAGAGTGGTGTGTCAGAAAAATGGGACTTCATCACCCACGTCTGAGACTCCAGGGCAGAGAAGGGCCAGCAAGCACAGACACAGGAGAGAAGCTCACAAGGGGAATCCCCCAAATGAGGTCAAGGGATCCTCTAGGGGCTGACTGGTTACAGTCAGAGCATCTATTTTCCATGTTCTGTGATCTCCAGGTATTTTCCAAAAGTGATACACATTATTTATTGGAAATGTCCCTGCCCCCAAGGTGGCACTAGCTCTTCCTCGACAGTTTCCCCAGCTCTCACTTCTGAAGGAGAGCAGGGTGGAGAGGGCTTTCTTCCTCTCAGCCTGCAGTCTGTGTGGCAGTACCATCTAAAGCAAAACCAGAACACATGTTCTGAGGCTGCCAGAGACAGGGCGTCAGCTCTTAGCTTCTGAAAAGCCATCTCTGGCATCTTCGTAGGAGGCAGGGTACTCTCCTTCTAGGAGGTTTTGTACTTGGCCGGAACTACTTACCAGAATATGTCCAATTCTACTTTAATATTCTCCGGGACAGGTAAACACCGTATGCACAATGGTCAAACTTTTTAAAAAATTTATTTATTTTTATTTATGCGCATTGGTGTTTTGCCTGCATGTGTGTCTGTTTTGAGGGTGTCAGATCTTGGAGTTACAAACAGTTGTGAGCTGCCATGTGGATGCTGGGAATTGAACCCCAGGTCCTCTGGAACAACAGCTAATACTCCCAACCTCCGAGCCATCTCTCCAGCACCCACAGCAGCCGAACTTTATAAAGCTATTCTGTAAAGATCAAAAAATAAATCTGGCAGGGCTGGGTTGTGGGGATGGATGGGGAGCAGGGTCCTCGGAGCTTGGTGCTTTCTGAAAATCTCCCTTCCGTGGCAGTTTATACTTTGGCAACAAGAACAAAGATGCCTCTGAGTTTTGTTTCTTGCCCCTGCCCTGTGTTCCACTGTTCCCAGTCTGGACATCCACACTACGACCACCTCCGGTTTTCAGGAGGGAACCCAATTTGGGCTCTAGCTAGGGAGATCTATGTGTGGGCGTTTGGGATTTCTGTTGCTATTCCACAGTGGGGAGAGCCTCACAAATGATCTGCTCTATAAGATAGAGAGGAACAGGCCGGCCCATTGGTGACCCCAGTTCTAGCCCCCACAAGCTGGTGAACTCTGGATATGTGGTCCCAATTCTCAATCTGTCTAGTGAGACTTCGCTCTGCTCTCCCAGGAGAAGTGCTGTGGAAGATGTGAACGGCAAACGGAAGCAAAGTGCTAGCTTGCAGCAGCCCTTTTTGCTAACGGCACACTGGTATGTTGGGTGTGCAGGCGCAAGGCTGCCATCCACAAACCTGGTCTTCCCCACCACAGGCAAACCAGCCTCATCTCAGAGACTGGAAAACTGAGGCTCAGTCAGGTTCTCTAACTCATTCAAGGCTCAAACTACAGAACAAAGTGGGGTTCTGCCCTGGTCCAACTTCAAATTCACTGGGCTGGTCGAACTCCAGGTAGGCAGAGAGTAGGACTGAGGTCACAGCTCACCAGCAGCTTGAGGGTGAGATGCCACCTACACGTCATCACTATACTGCTAGGAATTATTACCCTAGGCCTAGAAGCAGAGGGAAGACCCCGAATGTCTTATCAACGTCACATTCCACGCAAAAGTCAAGGGCTGGCATGCTTGGTCTGCAAACCAAATGGTCTGCTACCCCTTCTGTGAAGAAACATAAAAAGCATCATCCTGTGATAGGCCGCCTCTCAGCACGCTGCCATTCTGTATTAGCAACAGGGTAACAGAAAGGAGCCGCTGTGGAGAGGGTGTGCCCCGCAGCCTGAGATGTCAACTGTGTCTCTTTGTCCTCATCTAGATCACCAACCAATGTCTGGAGCAAGTCTTGTTCTCACTTCCTACTTATTGTCTCTTAGCAAAGTTAGATAGAAACGTCCAGAAGACAGGAAAGTTACAAATTACTTTATCCCACAGAGAGACAAAGAGGGGGATTCTCTTCTGGTCCTGATGAAGTAACCTGTTTTACATACAACTAGCCTGACATATAACTCGCTTTGTTATTCCCCGTGCTCTGTGGGGGCTTCTCCCACTCTCTGCCCGGTGGCACGCCCTCAGCCCCACATGTGCGCAGGGTGTGTTTGCGCAAGAGTCACACTTTTAGCTTCAGAGAAATCACACTCCATGGGACACCCACAATGCCCGCCTGGCCAGTGGTTAGCAAAGCAGCCCTGGGACCCCGCGGCACACACAGCATTCCCAGAAGGCAGTGCACTGCAGCGGCAAACAGGTACCTTGGCGTCCTGGCGGCTGCGGGAAGCCAGGGCGATCTGCCTGGCCAGCTTCAGGGCTTCTATTCGCATGATGGCAAACTCTAACTCCTCCTGCCCGAGGGGTAGGGGGTGAGCAGACCATAGGGAAAGGCATCAAGACAGACAGAAGGTTTTCCACATCCAGGAATGAATGTGCCACATAAATGCATATGATAGCGCTTGTGGGAAAACATACGCTCAGCTTTCTCTCACAACCAACACCTCAGCAGATCATGAAATAAGGGTTTCATTTCCTTTTTGGGGAAAAAGAAAAACAAAACAACAAAACCCCTCCCCTTTGAAGGTGTGTCAAGAAAAATCATGCAGTCGGATGCTAACCAATTTTCCAAACAGGACGGCAGTTTTTACTCTACGGCAGTCTTTGATTTCTTTCCTTTTTTTTTTTTTTAACGTTGACCAGCGCTTGCTGTCAACAGCCAGGCATCTCTCAAGAGGCCTGCTAACAATCTCTCTGGTCGGCCTCACTTCCTAGTCCAGGGAGATCGCAAATTAAGCTGTTAAATTTCCGCAATAGAGATAATTGTTTTGTATTCCAGAAATAAGATGGAGTCCAGATGTTGTCTCAATGGGAATCTGGGATCATCTTATGTATTTAAACAGCTTGGCCTGACCTGATACCTTTGGTTTAGTGAATAAATCATAAACACTGCCTGTGGGGCTATCAATACATCAAGAAAAATGACTTTGGGGGCCAATTTCACAATAGAAATAGAAACAGTCCGCTCAGTACGTAATCACACAATTTGTATAATTCTGGCATCCTGGCTATAGCACAGACATATATCAGTGTTTGAGATGAAATACTTCAACAGGACATTCCCAATATTGCCTCATTAAGTACTGCCTCGGCTCAGAATTTGGCTCAGGGTTTCATTTTCTACTGAGGTTTTGACAAACTCCCAAAAGGTCACATAGGGGCTACAAACCTGAAGTTTCTGAGCAAATACTGGGGGGTTCTTTTCTGCTAAGTCAGCCTCCAGATAGTCAAGTGCACCACAGAGAGAGGCAGGATGGGCCAGCCTGCTGAGGAGGGCATCTGCAGACGCAAAGGCACCCTCCGGAGCTGTCTGAAGGCCGGCAGAGAGGAAAATGGAAAATAGAGGAGAGTAGAAAGATATTGATTTCAAGCAAGGACCACACACCCACACACTGCGCATTGCTGCATTAAGGCTAAAGAGAACATCAATTAGTGGCCAACACTCAGGTTGCCATTTGAACTGAGACTGGCAGGCCCCGCTCCTCCTCCCAAAAGCTGCGCCTCAGGAGCCCTCCCCTGGTCAAGGTCACCTTGTCTCTGAGCCAGAGCAGTGGAAGCCACATAACCACTGCTATTCTATCTGAAAATCTCCACGAGTGGGGGGCAAGCTAGTTGACGGGTTTCAAATGCCAACATAGGTTCATCAAAGAAATAGCACCAAGGATACATATCAAGGAAGGGCCATTCTTAATAGTGAAAAGATGATTTCAAACAAAAAGGCACCTTCTCGTAGATTAGAAAGACTTCCAAACTGGAGGGTAACTTTGCAGGGGATGAACCACGGCCAAGTCTACCACAGGATATATATGTGCGAGATAGATTCACATCTAGACCCTTTTGCTGTTCACTGATTGTGTTTCCAGTATTCAACCCAGCATCCAACTGCCATAGGCATAGGAGGTGCCCTGGGAATGTCTGTAGCACGAGACAGATCAAGTTGCCTAACAGAGAACAACGCACCAAATCAAACAGTTTCAAACTGGCAGGAAGATCGCTAGGAGGAAGGCGAAAGAAAAAAAAATACAATCAAGCCAATTTGGTTTAACACACGTGGAAGACTCTCAGGTGGTTATTACACACTCTAGGGAGAGCACACGTACCATGCAGGGACTGGGGAAAACGAGGCCTCATCTCAGGGCCCAGGGCCCTGCAAGGCTTCAGGAGGGTTTGGATGAGGAGAAGTTGAAGCCCTGGACCACGAGCAAGAGAAATCACCTATCACTGCGACCCAGGATACACACAGTTGATCCCCAAAAGAGGACGATCCTTCCTCTACCCTCCCTTGTTTTTCTATACAGGCTAGAGAGGCTGACCAGTTTGTCTGTCAGGCAAGTTCCAAGGAGGAAAAAATGGAAAACACACCCGAGCAAAATAAAGCACTTGGCTGAGAACTGCAGAGCCACCATGGTAAAACTGAAGGCCTTTCCCTTGCTGTGAAATACAGGGTCTCACAGGCTGGCCGCTGTGGTCCAGAATCAGAGTGGGGCCCACAACCAGGTGAGGAATGACCTCATCAGAGGGCGAAGCCACAGAGCCCCTCAGACAACACTTACAATTTCAATGGCCTCTGTGGGGGTGCCCAAGGCCATGGCTTCCAGCTCCTTCTGGGAGGACTTCTCTGGCACCTGCAAGAGAGGCTCCTGGTTGGAGACCAGGCCTCGTGTGACAGGATGCTGGAGTTTTGTTGCAGCATTCACAAGGGCTTCGGTTTCCTCAAAACTTGACCTGAGGAAAAGAAGTCAATCATTAGAATCGTCTCCTTGGAGACTTACAGAAGTCTCTTAGGAAGTTTTCAACAGCCCACAAAGACATCACTTCTAAGTCTGTGTCCAAGGAAAGACAAAGGCCAGGTCCTCAGTAGCCATCCACCTAGAGGCAGACTACGGTCCAGCCACGTTTAAGAGCCAACTGACAAGGGAAGGACACAATACGAATGCCTTTGGCAAGGGGACTGAGCTCTGGAGTTTCGGGACCAGTCACTTGTGTGTTCTGTTGGAAAGAGGTTGGGTATCATACCAGCTTTCCTTTTTTAGAAAATGGAGGCAGACACCTTTGAGAAGATAAAGTCAGATGCTGCATGGATACAAAGCACTCCACACAGTGCCTGCCACACTGGGCCACTCCTGGAGAGATGGCATCACTGTCCTAACACCTGCCACCTGGACAGAGTTCCGTCTGCAAGACCCACAGTAAGTCTGAGAGACCAAAGCATGAGCTTCCAGTCCTGCTCAGCACAGAGCAAGCGTCCAGCGATGGATGGGACGACCTAAATAATGGAGCAATGCCGTATACTTTCCCAATCAAAGGCTACGCCATTCAGAATGTGGACACTGGCACAGGCAAACACATTAATATCCACGTTAATAAGAAATGTCTGCCGTGCATGGTACATATGCTAGGCACTCCATATATTAGCTCCTGGAAGCCAGGTTCCCTATGTCTGCCACTTAACCTGGGGACAGACAGTCTTTAATCTCCCCAAATCCCTAGAGGTCACTTTACTCCTCTCACTTTACACAGGGAAACTGAGGCATAGGACGCACAAGTAACTCCTACCAGATACAGAGCTGGGACTTAAGTTTTCAGTGTTGTAGCACACTGCTCCTATTGGACAGATGACAAAGTAGAGTTGAGTATGAACACTCTGTGTGTCTGTCTGTCTGTCCGTCTGTCTACTCGAGGGTACTGCCAGTCAGCCGCTGCACCTTTATTCACAGGGCCCTCAGAAATAGCAGTGATGCATCTGTGCCCTTGTGGGCAGACCGAATTAGGGGCTACTTGCAGACATGCAATGGAATGAAGTCAGACTAACAGTGGGAAGGCAGACAAGCCACAACTCTCTCATCATAAAAGTCATACCCCGAACATGGAGTTGGGGAATCCGACATCCGGACCGGAGGAGACTTGACGGGGCTCTCCTGCGAGGCGTCAAACATAAGGTACAAGGCCTGCTTCTTCGGAGTGTCATCTTCCTGCTGCAAGAAGCAAAGTCACATGTCCATTAGCTGGGCACAGTGGCCTAAGTATGCCACCCAAGTGAAGAAAACACTCACTGACAAGAAACAAGCAAGCCTTCAGTTTTCTCTCGCTCCCAGAAGAGAGGAGAAAGCAGGAGGTGACCAGAAGAGGGTCAGGAGGGTGGGAGAGAGGGACCCGTGGAGATCTAAGGTGGGAATAATCTGCTGGTGCTGTCTGTCCTGTTCCAGTAGTGCTCGGGGGCCACAGTGGCAAACACCAGTGCCTAGGATGCAGAGTGAGCCAGCCACGCTCTCAGTCCTCACAAAGGAGTGAGGGAAGACAGCATGCTGACCCCAGGAATGAGCTCTGCCACTGAGGCCCTGCGGTGGTCTGAATGAGGTGTCCCTCATAGTCTTGGGCATTTGACTACTTGGCTCCCAGACGATGATGTTTGGAAGGTTTAGGAGGCGTGGCCTTTTTGGAGGAAGCTGTGTTACTGGAGGCGGGCTCTGAGACTTTAAACTCCTATACCGTCTTGCTTCTTGTTTGAGACGTGTCTCGGCTCTGCTATTGTGGACTTTTATTTCTCTAGAACCATAATCTCAAATTGCTCATGGTGTTTTCTCACAGCAGCAGAAAAGCAACTAAGACAGACCCCCAAAGAAAGAGAGGGGGCAATGGGCTTGGCCAGAAACGACAAAGCATCTTTCTTCTCGGCTGGTCAGGAGGGTCATGATCAGAGGCTATGGGGGCTGCGGCTCAGAACCCGAGAGTCCATCCATGCTCAAGGCCTAGAGGAGAGCGCAGGTGGATCTGGGCACTGACTATACAATCAATGTGTGGCTCAAAGAGAGCAAGAGGTAAGGTGCTTACACTAGAGTCCCAAGACCTGGGGCGATGAGTCTAGGAACGGGGTCTTGCGTTTCTCTTATGGGGCAACTCTGAAGGACCCTGTGCAGCCTTGCTGGAAACCCCACAGAAGCTGCTAGGCTGTTGTGGGAGTAACTTCCGCTGCCTCAACCAATAGTCGCTGAAATACGAGCCCACAGTGCAGCGGGGAGCGACTTCCGCTCCGTCAGCCAATAGCTGCTGAAATACCAGCCCACTGGGGCGTGGTATATTTCTCTTTTAAAAAGAGAAGCAGATCCGGATCAGGCCCTCTTGGTTCCGGTGCTTGGTCCTGGCTCCTGCTCCCGGCTCCTGCTCCCGGCTCCTGCTCCAGTGACTAGGCTCCCTTCCTGACGGTTTATAGTGTATGTAAGTTTTACCCCCCAAAATAAATAACCCCTTAAAACATAACTGGTGTGGGATTGATTCGCTGATAACAGGCCAGGGTAGAGGAGGAACTCACGGGTAAGGAGGAGCCAAGCTTTTCCATGTATTCGATTTCATAGGAGTTTCTGTAGTCCAGCTCTGAAAACAAACAGGTGACATGAGTACGGGGGAGACTGAAGGACCTGGCCCGGCAGGGGGTGTGCTGAGTTTCGGGGGACCATCAGTGATGACAGTCTTCAAATCCAGCCTCCAGCGAAGCACAGTTCAGCTATCATCAGACAGTCTGTGAGCTTCCTGCTGGTAGGAGCTATTGCCCTTCGGAATGTGAATGAGCCCCAAGGAAATGAAGCCATGTGTTCACAACACACAGGTCTGCAATGGGGGACCCATGCACTTCTATGGTGTTCAGACTGGAGGTAGAGGAGTTTGGGGGAATGTTTTTTCCTGACTCTCAAGGGCTGCACTTAGGATGACATGGCACAGTGACATCTTGGACCTGTATTGTAGCTGTCCCTCTCTGTGAATTCAGGAGCTGCAGGACAGGCAACACTTCTCCAGGGTTGCTTTGTCAGCTGGATATTTCCCTCAGTTCTACTAGTAGTTTCGGGGCTGAGATCTGACGTTTTGAAGTTTTAGGGATCTCTCTTGAGGTCCTGTGATCACAGTTACTAAGGAGAGTACGTGGGTTCAGTGCCTGCCTGAGCTATAGAGATAGGTTCAAAGGCAGCCTGGGCAACTTAATGAGACTTTGTCTGAAAATGGGAAAATTTAAGAGGGCTGGGGATGTCATTTTAGTGGGAGTGCTTGCCTGGAATGTACAGTGCCCTAGGTACCATTCCTAGTACAGGAAGGGAGGGAGGGAGGAATGGAGGGGGAAATACTTCTCATCTGCTTTAAATTCTGACCCCCAGAGAGCAGGCATGCAGACAAAGTCAAGGAGCACCCTCTCACACCAGGCCACATGCAGGTGGCAGGCTAGGAACAGTTCTACCATTAGCACCAAGTGGCACTTGTTTCCACAACTAAGGAGGGGCTGAGTCACTGAAGGATAGGGCTACTTCACACTGAAGAGGTCCATAGTTACGTTTAAAGGATCCTCTTGTATCCAAGGACCACTTGGGAGAATGACCTCACCCCGTGGCATCACAGAGCAAAGAGGAAAGGACCGCTTGCCAGAATCTAATTGCTAGAGCTTTTACTAGGGAAGTGCCCTGGGCGGGGGATGAAACATCTTCATTTTTTAGAATGAAGTCAAAGTCCAGCTTATTGAACTGCTCTGTGCCTGCTGATTCAACAAAACGAAACTCAAAGTGCCACACTGTCCTGGGTGACAGAACCAAGTGTGACAAGAAGTCCTGCAGTTAGCTATCCACTCCGAAGAATCACGGCCAGACTTACTGTTGCTCAACCTAACATTCCTCTTTAAACACAAGCGATGTTTTATTAAGAGGAGATGGACAGAGAGCCCTGGTGGAGGAGGAGGAGACTACGCTCACCTTCTCCTGTCCCCTTCTCAGTCTCTGTCATGAGACAACCTTGGTGCCCACCCAGGCAGACAGCTTGCTCGCTGCTGGATGTGGGCAGAAGGGGCAGATGCAGTTGTGCGTAGAGAGGCCAAGTGACTATGCAGATTTGTGGGTCTAAAAACATTTGTTCAGGGCTGCAGAGATGGCTCAGTGGGTTAGAACAGGCACTGCTCTCCAGAGGACGGGATTCAGTTCCCAGCACCTACACAGAATGGCTCACAACCACCGGAAACTCCAGCTCTTTGGATCAAATGTCCTCTGGACTCCAAGGGCACCCATAATCACATGATACAGAGAAGCTCATGTAAGCACCCATGCACGTGAGGGCAGGGAGCCTGGTCTACTCTCACCGCCACAGGATATAACAATGAAGCCAGGCAGGCGCCTGCACAGATCACCTCAGGCCTTCTCAGTGTGCAGTCTCTGTTTCCTGTCTTAAAGTGGGGAACTGCAGGATCTGCCACAGAGCTCAGAGGAAACGAAGCCCTGCGTGCAAAATGATAGCCCCCACTTTCCTCTCCTCTCCTATGGAATTACCATGGCTGTGCATGTGTGTTCAAACAGTAATTATGACGTCCAACCCAACATTTCCTTTTCCTGTGGTGACTTCTGAGGGATGAAGTCTCAGCTGCAGCTGCAGCCCTGCGCTGACTCACTCTGAGGACCCCATCAGCGCCTGCAGATGTCTGGTGTGCTGAACTTCTCCTTACTAAGAGAACAAGAGGGAAGACCCAACGAGGGGCTTCTCCATCCAGAGCATTACAGAAGTGGTAACAGCAAAGCCAATGCCCCGTAAAGTCATAGTGTCTTCATGTTGGGTGGGTGGATTCTCCAACACTCAAATCTTTACAGTCATTTCCTAAGGAGACAGGTTTCACAGAGTTTTGTCTCGAAGTTAAAACTATCATACGCCTATTTTCAGAATTCTCTCTCTCTCTCTCTCTCTCTCTCTCTCTCTCTCTCTTTCTCTCTCTCTCTCGTGTGTGTATGCATGTGTGTACAAATGGTCTACATGTATGTGAGTGTTTGCCCACCACAGTGCATGCATAGCTGTCAAAGGACAACCTTGCCATTCTTTGCCCTCCACTTGTCTGAGGTGGGCTTTCTTGTTTTGTCTTGTTTCTTCAGATAAATACGGCAGGCTAGCTGGCCACGGAGCCTCTGGAGAGTCTCCTGTCCCTGCCCATAGCTCCCTGCAGGAGTGCTACGATCACAGACCCATGTACTGCACGTCAGCCTTTTGACAGGGGTTCTTGGGATTCGACCTCAGGGTCTCACACTGGCACAGCAAGCACCTTTACTCCCCGAGTCAGCTCACTAAGCCCTCCCTATTTGCTGGATTTTTGCAGACACAGTTATCAGAAAGCTTAGTGACTGTGTTAGCACATGTCAACACACTCCCAAATCAAAAGTGTTTAATTCTCAGTACAAGCCCAAGCTTGTTTCTAAATGCTTTTTCTGGTATTCAGATTTGTTTGTTTTTTAATCTAGCTCAAGAGAGGTGGGCCAGTGGGGAGCTGGAGATATCAGGTGGGAAGTGAGATGCCTGTGTCCAAATGTCCTCGCTGCTTCTGGGGCATTAGGCTTCTCTGGTCCCTATACTTCATGCGGATGATGGCTGTTGCAAAGTTCAAACAGACTGAGCCGACGCTCGGCTGTTTATGTACCCTGGCCTTGTGTTTCTTTTATCTCAAACCCATCTTTAGCACCTATAATATTCATGGTAGTTAGTGTGGGGACATGGAAAGGAATCGGAATGTTGCCTTCAGTAAACAAACAGCCCAGTAAGGAACAAGAAATGCACACATATCTTCATCATGGTGCTAAGAGCCCCCAAATCAAGCATTAAAGGCAAGCAGGGAAAGGAGTGGCTACCCAGGCAAAGGTTGAGACAGGCAAAGGTGGGAAAGGGAGAGTGGACTTCTGGTTCTATCTTCCAGACTGCTGGGACTGTAGGTGTGTGCCACTATACCTAGTACTATGTAGTGGGGAATTAACCCAGGGTTTCATGCATGCACGCCACCAACTGATTACACCCCAGCCCTAAGATACATGAATTATTCAAGCCAAACAACCAGAGAAGAAGCAGAAACTGAATACACAGCACAAAGGAAGACACTGAGATACAAGTGCTTGGGATCTTTCCACATCAATCAAGTCCTCATTAGCAAGCCTCGGGAAAACCTCTGGCTCCAGGCTTGGTTAAACTGTGTGACCACATTGTCTGACCAGTCTGTGGGGGATACGAACAATGACGGCACCAAAAGACCCACAGGCGGGTTGACCTATAGTCAACGTCCTGTGCCACCGATGTTCCTTTGGAGCTGTGTCTTTCAAAACTACAGAAGGTATCAGAAGTCATCCAGCCAAGAACAAGCAAGTGAGGTTTCAGGATCTGGGTTAGAGGGGACTAGTCTGGTTCTCAGCAGGCATCATGTGGTCAAGGGGCAGCAGCTCTCAAGCCTTAGCTTTGCATACAGCGGGAAGTGTACAGGCTGTCACACGGGTAATGGTTACCTGGCTGGCAAGTATCTTTCCTGGCTCTTTGCCCCCTAGCGACAGTATTCTCCAAGGCAAGGTGTGGGTCGGGCTGGCCACCGAGTTGCTTACCCTCTGAGGGCGAATTGAATTTGGTCTCATTTACAAAGTTAGACAGATCCGAGGGCTGTGGGAAGTCCTGTTTGTCAGCATCCAAGTCTACTGTCATACACGTCCACTTCTGGCTGGTGACGGCCAGTTTCTCCTCGTCTGTGGCATGGACCACTGCAGAGATTGCTGGGGGTGCTTCCGGTGTGGCAGCTGGAGTGGAGTCCTGTGAGGAGAGGGGACAGTCTCTTCTTTGACCCAGTCTCAGAATTCATGCCCCTCAAATCAGGGAAACCCCTCCACTTATTTCCCTGGGACTCTGATCCACAGTGTCCCCAGAGGAAACATTCCTCTATTGATCTCCTTTATTGATGATTGATTTTAGAGAGTGACCATGGCTTGACCAAAATTAATTAACTAAAAAAAAAAAAAGCTAGACATGGTAACTCTTGTCTGTAATCCTAATTAGGCAGGAGGATTCCTGGGAGTGTGAGGCCAGACTGGGCAAGGATGTAAGACCCTTTCTCCAAGGACTGGGGATGTGACTTGATGGTATGCTGCTTGTTTAACTTGCATGTGCACAGTCCTGGGCTCAATACCCAGCACTGAAAAACAATAACAAAAAAGCCTCAGTATGGTGGTTCACCCCTGAGAGACCAACACTCAAGAGACTGAGGCTAGCCTGGGCTATGTAGTAAACATCAGGCTAACCTGAACTAGTATGAAACCCTGTCTCAAAACAAAACAATAAAGGCTGGAGAGATGGCTCAGAGGTTAAGAGCACTGGTTGCTCTTCCAGAGGTCCTAAATTTAATTCCCAGTACCCACCTGGTGGCTTACAACTATCTATAATGAGATCTGGTATCCTCTTTTGGTATGTAGGCATATATGCAGGCAGAACACTTTATGAATAATAAATAAATCTGCTGTAGGATGATGCTCTTGTACCCTGCAAAGATTTGTCACTCATACTGGTTTAATAAAATGCTGATTGGGCAGTAGCCAGGAAGGAAGTATAGGTGGGTCAACCAGACTAGGAGAATTCTGGGTAGAGGAAAGGCTCAGTCTGCAGTCACCAGCCAGATGTAAAGGAAGCAAGATGAGAATGACTCACTGAGTAAGGTACCAAGCCACATGGCTAAACATAGATAAGAATTATGGGTTAAACTGTAAGAGCTAGTTAATAATAAGCCTGAGCTAATAAGCCAAGCAGTTTATTATTTTTCTAAGCCTCTGTGTATTTTGTCGGGACTGAACGGCCGCAGGACTGGGCAGGACAGAAACTTCCATCTATATAAATCTTTTTAAAAAACAAAACAACACCAAAACAATAAATAAGTCTCTGTCTTGATTATCTGAGACACCCCAGTCAGTTTTATAGTTGTGCCATCAGCACTATCTAACATTCTTCCCACCAGTTCTTATGAAAAGGGGGTTTTACTGCCTCTATACAGCGAGAACCCAGGGGAGAGTTACAGCTGGACCTGAAGTCTCCTATCCCTGGAGCTAAGGTCCTAGTATGTTCTTTCACCTCCACCTGGTCAGCAACTGAAGCTGGTTTGAATATGAAGATCAACTTGTCTTATAACCCAGAATGGTAGCAAGCCTACCTGAGGATTACCTTCCTTGGTCTAGGAGGAGAGTTTTAAGGCATGGTACGAGCTTGTTAGAAACACCACTAAGAGGGAAATAGACTCATAATGAATTCAAGCCCCCACTTCTTTTTCTTAAAGACTTATTTTGTGTATATAAGGGTTTTGCCTGTGTGTCTGTATGTGCATCGTGTGTGTGCAGTACCCACAGAGGCCAGAAGAGGGTGTTAGAACCCCTGTACAGACAGTTGTGAACCACCATGTGGGTGCTGGGAACTGAACTTGGATCCTCCGCAAGAGCAGCAAATACCTTTAATCGCTGAACCAGTTCTCTAGCCCCAAGCTTCTTAAGAGTAAATGTCCCTCATCTTCCTGCTCTAATTCTGATGGCATAATTTGGTGTTCCTTATACACAGTGAGTCTCTGCCCTTTTTCTCACTCTGTGTCCACTGATCTCAACTTGATGCAAGTTCTCAGCAGGTTAAACGGTCAGGAAAGACAAAAGAATTTCTGCTATAAAATCTAGCCCTCATTTTCAATTAATTCCTCTCAGAACACACCTTGATCTCTACCAAAGTGATGTGGATCAAAACACTCCATGCCATAAAGAAGAAAAAAAAGGAAAACTCTTTTCTTCCTGTTTTTTGGTTTGCATGTATACAAGTGTGCATGATGCATGTACATCCGTGCAGGAATGTGTATATGCATGTGTGTGTGTGTGTGTGTGTGTGTGTGTGTGTGTGTGTGTGTACAGACAAAGCAGCATAAACTTCCTGGTCAGCAGTGTAATGCTCAAGGGATCAAGGGAGTGCTGTACCTGAGAAGGTGGATCAGACAGAGGGGACCTCTTTGGTGACTTCTTCACCCTAAAAGTGTCACTGTAAATAAAACAGAAAACGTAAACACGGGGTCACAGATCATTCCCAAGCACCTGGCAACCGCCCAGCCCTCCCGCCTACTCAAAAGCTCATTCTGACTTTTTAGCCGACATTATTTTTGCCCCCGAAGAGCCATCAAGCTAGAGACCTTTAACAAGAAGCCACTTTGGAGAGCTGACCCAGAAAAATGCAGCTAAATTTAACTAACCGTTCTTACTATCATGCAGCAAAGTTGTGGTGAGGAGAATCATTTCTAAGCCAGCTAAGGCTGGGGGAAGGGCTGCAGGCTCATGACTAATTAACAGGATTCAATTTTCACATGGGCAAGGAGACACGGCTCTTAATGAATAGCCAGCAGAGCCTACATGGAAACAGAAAGTTCTGGATCCTGTGGGGATGCAGGAGTCCTTTGTGCTCACAGGAACACAGAGCCCAGTGGGTTCTTCTGCTCTGGAAGCCTGAGTAGGGTTCTGACTGAGGAATCAGGAAGAGGGTATTTTATGCCTTTCCCTGGCTGTGGGTAACGGACATGACTCCATCCTCTTGTCTCCGCTTCACATAAGGTGATGGAGGTGGGGCAAACTGACCCCAGGAGAAAGGGACGGCTGTGAGCATAAATAGTACTATCTGGTCCATTAGACAGCATGCTCTTGGGGTCATAATCAAAAGTGAAAGCCCTCAACCTGCAAACTGGTCCTCCCTTCCTGGTGTCTAGCTCTCCCCACTATGGTGTGAGAATGAGGCAAAGCCAGAGCTTAGGTGTGGAGGAGGCAGGGTCCGTCAATTAAAATCCCACCACCCCCCTCTGTTTTCCCTGTTAACTAAGGAGGTAGAGAAATCTGACACCCAAGTTCCTTCCTTGTGTACTCTCAAATAAAACACTCCAACAATGGCATTTGATCATAAGAAAAATACCATAAATGGTTATTTATATCATTTATGGCATTTGCCATCAAAACCAGTCCAGTCCCAACATAAGGCATATATTTATTCATGCATATAAATATATAATTGCTTTATAGTTGCTAAATGACTTGAAAATACTAAAGCAGCTGCTTGGGTAGGACAGAATTGGGAGCCTCCATGCTCTCCTGAAGGCTGCCAGAAGCCTGGGTCCAGGTCAGCTTCCCCGGTAAGAGCAGGGAGAAGGCACATAGATTCAGAGCCCCGAGCTCTGCCCTGGCTAGGGTACGGAGCACCAGAGGTATACGGGTGGCCAGTTGCACTGATGCATGGCAGAGATACCCACAGATGACACATGTTAGCATCCAGCCTAGACATAAGTAACCAAGAACATGAACCAAATCACTCTGGCAATGGTTCTCAGCCACGGGTTCCACTCCGAGTGGATCCCACATTCCCTCTGGTTTCTACAAGCATGAATTTGGAAGAGACCAAATGGTACTGCCTCGGCGTAACAAGAAACAACCTCAGCCGTCTCTGCCCCAGGCTTCACGCAGCGCTTAATATGAAAGCATCCCTGCGACTGAACACAATCACCCGCCAGCCCAACTGACAACAAAAGAATGGAATTGGGTGTTAAAAACCAATATATGGATTTCAGAGGAAGATACAGGGGCGGGGACTGGGGGGTGGGGGATGACAGGCAGGGGCAGGCTTCCATTTCGGACAGACAAGCAGGCAGCTGTTGGCTAACCATGTTTTCACAACCAAGCAGTCTCGTGCTAATCATGATGAAACAGATAAGTAACCTTGACTGCAGGGGAGCCCTGACCCATCACTGCCAAGTTCTACACAGAACTACAGCAGCCACCACAGAGAAGAAAGGAAAAGGGGTGCGAGCAGAGACCAGGCAGAAGCCCCACATCGGATGCAAGAGGCAGATTGCATTAAATTTACTTACAACAGAGAACACACAGACATCACATCTTCAACCATCCTAAGACAAAAAGACAAAGAAGAGAGACAGACAGAAGGAACTGACAAAAAGATAAATCTGCAGACACCGGGCACTAGTGGGTTAGGATGTGGCAGCCATCCATAGCGGATTCTGCTCCAGGGCGCACGGTCCAGCACAGTCCAGCCTTCTGGGAAGGGGTTGTTGCCAAACAGCTTCCTCTCTAGCTCTGACCACACAGAGGGTTGGTACCTAAGAGCTCTGCCTCCGCAGGAGAGTCTTCCAAACCAAAAGACCCACACTAAGGGTGTCAGCAGGATACAGGGTTAGCTTCCTCAACCTTCTTAGTTCTGATGAACAAAGGGGAAAAAAACGACTAGGGATGTACTATACTATCTTGGGTCAGAAGAAGGGAGTGCCTACCAGGTGACTCTCTTTCTAAAGATGAGAAGTTATGGATTTGAAGTGTAAGCATTTCTGAATCTTATTCCACTCTCCCCACCCCCATACAGGGGTTCTATGTGTAACAGCCCTGGCTGTTCTGGAACTCACTCTGTAGACCAGGCCAACCTCAAATTGAAAAATCCGCCTGCCTCTGTCTCCCAAGTGCTGGGATTAAAGGCGTGCACTACCATCACCTGGTTAATATTTCACTTTTAAAATAAATTTCTACATGGATTTGGGTGAGTGGGTAGGTAGAGAGGATCTGGGAAGAGTTGGGGGAGGGGAACTGTGAACAGTATATTGTACGAGGGGGGGAATCTATTTTCAGTAAAAGTTAAAATTAGTTTTAAACATAAGGTTCTAATATGAATCTTATAGAATCTCTATGAAGGGTCTGGTTGGGGAACAGAGCTAAAAACAAGTTCATGTTTGGAGCCAGACCGGCCTTCAGTTACTGTAAGAAAGTGACCGAACAACTTAAGGCCAAAGCAGAACCTGAATTATTCTCAGATATCCAATGCAGATGGGTCACCCTGTGTTAGTAGACCCAGAGGGTCCAGCCTGGGATGGGAGGCTGAATCTCCCACCTGATTAAATTACACTGATGCTTCCCAAGAGAGCCAGGATGTCTGTAGCAACTGGACACATGGTCCTTGGCTTACAGATAATCAGGAATGGACCTATAGTTGACAAAGTTGGACTTCTCAGGATGAGTGCTGGGCACCAACACAAAACAGCTAGGGACAATTGTTGGCAAGTGTTTGTGGGCAAAAGCCATTCTTCCTAGGGATTATAGGGCTTACTTCCCCCCATCCAGGTCCCACCGATCTCTTCAGGTCTTATAGATACTTTCAAGTCTTATTTGAAAAAGATGTCCAATGGAAAGGCAACAAAGAGCCCATTTTTTAAAATAGGCTCACTGGAGGGCAAGCAGCGGCTCTCCTTCCGGGGTCTCCTGCAGCCTGCTGCCCTATGTGGCCCCTGAGTTAAAGAGACATCAGCAGGTAGAAACAAATGATATAGATTCTGAAGGGTGTATATCCCAACCAATCCAAAGGCAATGCCTATGCTAACCAGGGAAGAGTTCAGCCACCAACAGGAAGGTAGCCAGGCCTGCTGCTTCTCTATGGAACTTCCCATATTCCCCTGGAGTTGAAAGGTCATCATTAGCTAAACATAAAACTTCAAGTCCCTGATTTATTAAGGCAAAAGATCAAGGACTTTGTGGGTTCAGGGATAAGGAGATGATACAGCCAGAGGCTGCAGAAAGGAAATATGTATCCTGCCTGCTTGGAGAAATGGCCACAAAAATGGTGTCATTACAGCAACAAGGGGCAGGATGAGGGCAGCTGGGGCTTTTCCAGGCACAGGCAGGACCAGAAGTCACAGTAACGCACACCCACTCTGAATCCTCGCCACCTCCCTCCTTGAACTTACGTCTTCAGGGGAGTCTTCTTCTTCTTGGCGGGCTTATTCAACCCATCCCCGTCCACTTCGACGGTGCTGGCTGGGATCTCAAAAGAGGCTGGGGATTTAGAAGGTGAGCTGGGGGTCTTAGAGGATGTCTTAAAGGGGTCAAGGGACTCTTCACAGGCATCAGGGTCAAAGTTGTACGACTGCTGGGGCAGTTTGGGAGAGTCTTGCATTTTTGAGGTGGAGGAAAAAGGGTTAAAGTTGGGGTCGTCCCACTTGTCTATATCAAAGGTGTAGGTACCTTTAGCAATAGGGATGTCATTGGGTTCAGTAGGGGACCTTGGAGGTGAGGCAGGAGTGTTGTCAAGTTTCTCAGGTGTCTTTTTCATCTTTGGCCTCCTTAGGGGCATTTTGGCAACTGGCTTCTTGCCTATCTTTTTGGTGGGAGGGGCGTTTTCCTGCTGACTGTCCCAGTTACTCTTGTCCTCAGAGTAGTCAAACTCCAGCCTCACTGAGAGTCCTTTGGCAGGCAAGTCCTCCTGCCCCCCACTCTCTGATAGGGTCACCTCCACTGCCTCAGGGGCTGTGGTAAGAGGCACTGATTTCCTCCCCACAGGGGGTGAGTTCTGCACTCTGCCACCTCCAGAAACCGGAGGGCTGACGTCTTCCGCCCTCTCCAAAGTCAAAGGACAGGTGGCCGTGTTCACAGCAGTGGGCTCCAGGGGTGTCTCTTCTGACAAGGTGCACCCAGTGCCCTCAGGTGTGGCCGGCTCCGTCTTTGTCTCTGGCGCAAGGTGCTCCTCGCTGGGGACTGGACTCTCTTCACCTGGCTCCTGCTGGGTCTCCTTCACTGGAGGGGTGTCTGTGGGTTTCTTGGTGGCCTGTTTCTTTTTTAAGGAAGGTGGCCGTGTTTTTTTAGTTCGCTTAAGGGTGCTGGACGCACTGTTGGATCCAGTCCCACACGCATCTGTGGCAAGGGCCCCAGCTTCGGGGCTACCCGGGCAGGAAGCACCGTCAAAATCGCTGGCTTGCAGGCTGAGCGAGCGGGACAGCGTGGACTTGGAAGACGGCACGGATTCGGTGGATTTCCTCCGCGTGCTCACTTTACACTCCTGACCCTTGTAGTCGGCAGAGCATGGCTCCACGCTCTGAAAGTTGTCCACCAGCTCGATGCTGTCAAAGTCTAAGTTGTAAGTTCCGCTGCTGGCTATCGGCTTGTCCTCATCAAACACCGCCGAGGAGGAGTGCGAGGGACGGAAAGGGCTTCCTTCCACGGAGTTGCTGCGAGGGCCATCGGGAACCACAGCCGGCTCAGAGCTGCATCCTGAGGAAACAGAGACAAAGCAGTCACCTAAAGACATGGGACACTGAGAGCACTTCTCACTCTGTACCAGATGCCCACTCTGCAGAGCAGAGGTTGATGAACTCCGAAAACATGCATCCCGTATGGGCAACAAATCCCGGGTTCATTGCAGCACTGGCTCCAGACCCTGGGCAGGTTTCCCTCAGTTCCCTCATTGGTATAATGGGAACGAATCAGAAAAGAGATGAAGGCTTGCTGTAGGTCATTGTCCTTATAGCCTATCAGCCAGTACCATGGCTACCAAAGCATTCGCTGACTACCTACTTACTTACAAGAGACTCTCAAGATCAGGCCTGATGACAGTCCTCATGAAGAAGGGTTTGCGGAGGGTCATTGGACCCTAACCTATATACTGACTCCTTCCTATACACTCAAGCTGGGTACGGTCTCACTGTAGAGCGTGGAATGCCACTCGAAGGGAGGACTATCTTTGTAGCTATGGAGAAACTGTCATCCTTGCTGAGGTGACTTTCTGTGGTGTGGCTGTTTTGGGGTTACCCACACTCTGTAAGTCAGTCCACGCTGTAACCTTACCAGGAAAGTCACGAAACAAAGAGAAAGTATCTTAGACAGAAAGGGCTATGTGTGCAAAGGCCCTGGGATAGGAGAAGTCCTGGGGTATTGGTGCCGGAGAATTGTCTGTATTCTGTCAATCATGTTTTAAACAAACGCTGATTGGCCAGGCAGGAAGTATAGGCGGGAATACCAGACAGGAAGTAGAGGTGATGCAATGAGAACAGGAGAATTCTGGGAAGGAGGAAGCTGATTCCTCCCATTCCTGCCCAGATCACTGAAGCAGCAGGATGTGATCTGCCCCACTGAAAAAGGTACTGAGCCACATGGCTAACATAGATCAGAATAATGGGTTAATACAAGCTACAAGAGCTAATAAGTAGCCTGACCTAATGGGTCAATCAGCTTTATAACTTATGAAGTCCTTTGTATGATTTTCTTTGGGGCTTGCTGGCTGTGGGGCACCGGGTGGACAGAAACCCCAACAAGCAGGGCCCCTTCATGATACAGAGCATCATAAAAATGATGGAGCTGACACTGTTGAAGTCAGGAGCAAGATGGGAAACAGAGAAGGCAAGCAAAAAATTGTCAACCCTTGTATATAAATTAAATATGGTCACAGTCAACTCTGATCCGGATTGCTTAGGCACTGAGAAGAATGTGCAAGGCTTTATGTGAGGTGCACTGAGCAGGACTGAACTAGCCCTTCACCACCTGCCCCTCCAGACACGACCTGGACGCGCTCCCACCAACCTGCCCTCCTACCTTGCTCTGGTTTTGCCTCCTGTCCATTCTCCATCCTCTCCTCCCAGCTTTTTACCTCCTCCAACCCTGTCAGCCAATGGGGCTGCTCCTTATCTTCCAACATGCCCAGGGACAGCAAATGTCAGTCAAAGGACGCCCAACGCTCTCACTGCCCCACTACTCCCAGGAAACCCTTGCCCGGATTTCTGGGCTCCCAGCTGTACTGCCAGAAAAGGGAAAACATTGTCCCGTGGTCTGCAGAAGGCAGAACATGAAACAGAAAAGGCAGCAGAGCACGGACGGACCGTGGACTGTGCACATGGACAGACGTTATAGTGCATTAGCCCCTCTCTCCAGGTAAGCTTCCAGCTTTAGTCCGGGAAGCCATTATACTTGAGTTTCAGATAAATGGACAGTTTCTAAGCATATGTGTCACATGAGATTCAAACTGGCCTGGGTGTCCTGCATCTTCACTTTCTCAATAGCTGTCTTATCCTTCGTTCCAACCACCCAGGTGTGGGAAAGGCTCACAGTCAAATAAGCCAGCCTACTGTAGACTGCACCTTACTTCCCCCCACTCTGAGCTGTGGATGCTCTCGGCTGTCAGCGGGGTGGGGGTGGGGGTGTCCTCTCACGGTGCTTCCTAACTTTGCTCACAGGGAAGCCCTGCAGCTGGCTCCCCAGCTGATGAAGTGGGAGACGAGAGCACAAGGAAATGGTAAACCTCCCAGGTTCAGAAAAGGGCTTGCTCACCTGTTTCCAACCCAGGACATTTCCCTCAGAAAGCTCAATAAACATTCCTTGTACTATGAGTACCTGGGGAAGCCTGCTTGTCACTCTAGGAGCCAGCGCTAGCGCCGGGCCTTCCCCTCTCTCCCCTAACCCTAACTCTACTAGGCACACATGCCCTGAGCATTTGCAGCCTCAGGTCCCAGTTTCCTACCATCCCCCAAAACACTTGCTTCCTTCCCATCTCAGAACGGGTATCCACCTTTCTTCCTTCTGAGGTCACTTCCCTTCTTCTCTGAGGCCCTTGGGCCTTCAAGCACAGCTTCCTCCTGTCAGCAGCAACCTCTTCTTCCTGCCCCGTGGCTGCTCCGGGATACTTGGTTCAGAGGTGGAAAACCAGAGATCACTGGTGGGGGCATTACATGGACTTTGGCAGCAGGGAGAAGGGCCCCAGTCAGTCCTTCACTCTGTAGACAGACCCTCCAGTGCCAGCCCTTCCCTGTGAATCTGCTCCATAGTCTCGGCAGCCTTCAAAGGTCAGTAGTTTTCCCGCATCAGTCAGCAGATGCTCAGCTTCTCATCCGCTCTATCCTCGCGCCTACTCAGCCTGGTTTTCCTATTCAGAAGTGCTGTTCCCTAATTAAGCCACTGGCAAAGAACCCAGTTTTGCTGTAGTTTCTTATCCCCAGCCCAAAAGATGCTTGGGGGCAATCCCTCATTGTGGGGAGCCAGCCTGTTTGGTGTAAGAATCCTCACCTCATCCTTAGCTCTGACCTACTAGACGCCAGTAGCACTTTTTATCCTAGTGGTGACAAAATGTCTCCAGACAGTGTCTCCTCTCCCCAGGAGGACAACACTCTCCCTAGTCGGGAGTTGCTATTTTACTGAATGGTTCTCAGAGCAGGCGGCTCTTCCCATGGTCCTTTACAAGGTTGGAATGGCCTCTCCATGTCATTGCCATGGGCAAGCCCAGACTTGCAAGGCAAGCATGTCCAGTTGGGTTCCCACTAGATTGTTACATAGCCACATAGATCTGCATAAAGACTTCATTCATCCTAAACCTGGGGTGTCTCCACCTCAAGACAGGGTGACTTCAACAACAGAGAAGAAATGTGTTTCTCTTTGTGCTGAGTTCTAAGGCCAAAGTCCACAATGGAGGTGACAGCAAGTCTGGTCTTTCTTAGGGCTTTTATCCTTGGCTTTCAAGTCTGACTCTGTTGTCCTTACATGGCCTTTTCTCTGAGTAGATATAGCCTTGATGTCTCCCTTTTTCTTTTCTTTCTCTATCTTCCTTCCTTCCTTCCTTCCTTCCTTTCTTTCTTAATTTCTTCCTTCCTTCCTTCCTTCCTTTCTATTTTAGTTTTTTGACAGGATTTCTCTGTGTAGCTTTGGAGCTTGTCTTGAAATCCACCAGGCTGACCTCGAACTCACAAACATCCACCTGCCTCTCTCTGTCTCTGGGATTAAATGCTTGCTTGTACCAACATGACTGGCCTGATATCTCCTCTTGCTACAGGCTCCCCCACCCTAAGACTCCACAAACCTTAATTACCACCTGAAAGGCCCTATCTCTCACATATCACACCAGGAGTGAGGACTTTCATGTGGGGATTTAACAGGTACACAGTCCAGTCTACAACACCGGAGCTGAGCAATACAGCAGATACACAATCCAGCCTACAGCACCTGTGCTGGGTAAAATACCTTAAGCTAGACAGACGTGTTCAGAAACCAGAGGGAAGTAGAGGAAAAAGTGTCCTGACAACTGACGTCACCCACCTGAAGTCTCCCTACCTTCAGCAGAGGCAACATTTCTTAGCCTGCTGGAGTGTTTCCCAAGTGACACGCGATGGCTAGAGCTTTCCCTTCTGCTCGGTGAACTCTCTCGGGGACAGGGATGTAAAGGCCAGAGTGAGCCCCTGCCATCCTGACATGCTCAGATTCTCAGCTGACTAATAAATCGAGCCCACAGGAAGCACAGTGGACCACCTAAGCACACTAATATGGAAAAGGTCTCCTCTTTCAGCAGGCTAATGGAGATCAACAGTAATGGATTACTTGGTCCTCTTGTGGCATTTTGCCAGTGGTTGTATGCTGTGGGACAATGGTCTTGTACCCGTCACTTATATTGTATTGCTTTAACAAAACACAGATTGGACAGTAGTCAGGCAGGAAATATAGGCAGGGCGACCAGGCAGGAAGTAGAGGCGGGGCAATGAGAACAGGAGAATTCTGGGAAGAGGAAAGACTCGCCTACAGTCATTATCCAGACACAGAGGAAGCAAGATAAGACTGTCTCGCTGATAAAAGGTACCAAGCCACATGGCTACCACGGACAAGAATTATGAATTAATGTAAGTTATAAGAGTTAATAAGAAGCCTGAGCTAATATGCCGACCAGTTTATAATTAATATAGACCTCTGTGTATTTCTTTGGGTCTGAATGGCTGCAGGATCAGGTGGGACAGAAACTTCTGGCAACAATTATGGATAAGGAGCTGCATCAAGGCTCCCCAGCAGGGTCACAAAGGGAAGTAAGAGGTGTGTAGAGGACCAGGGCCTGGCTAGATTCTTGGTTTCCCCACCTAAGTTTCCCTGGGTGAACACGACCACAGTGGGTCACTGAGGTCACCGTGCTCTGGTTTCCTCACCTGTCTATGCAGCCACAACCTCTTACCATCTTTCTGACATGAGCTGAGTGGGGCTTTGGACTGGCTGCAGTGGGCTCATGCACCTCCTGCTCAACAACATCCTCCTGCACCTCCTGCAGACATCCAGGTGTCTGCAGAACACCTGGGCTCTTCACCTTACACACGGGGAACATGTGTGAGGCTACACATCAGAGTCCCCAACAGCTCCACTTGTTCCAGAAAGCCGGGTACATTCACATCAGGAAGAGTAGGAAAGACACCTGGCCCAAGTGCTGAAGTACCCAGACCCAGCTCTGAAAAGCCCTGATCCTCAACTTGTGTGTCTTCAGCCTAAACATCCATGACCCCTCAAATTCCCATGAGAATGAGAATGAGAAATCTCATTCTCAAAGCAAGACCTCTGAGAGGGGATTAGGTCACGGGAAAGAGTGTTCATGGGATTGATTAATACCTTGAGGGAACTTGTTGGTCCTATGCACCATGTGCTGGCATGGCAGGCTGAGTGCCGTGGGTTAACCTGATCTCCTCCAGACACCAAATCTGAACCCCCGGCCTCAGAATCAAAGCAACATACTTCTGTTATCCACCATCTACTCTGTCTACAGGTAGGCTGGCCAAGGCTGAGGCTGTGCATTTGGGCAAGCTATTTCATAAATCTGTTGCTGTTGCAAGCCAGGGGTTCTTGTGAGGATGGAACGGAAGGCCACATGAATGCCCAGCATAGGGCACAGTTGGTGCCAGGACATAACAGCCCCAGCCCCTCAGATCCTGCCCACGCCAATGACAGCGGCTCCCTGTTCTGCAGTCCATCTCATTACCAGGGGCTTGGGCCATGCCTGGGTTTTTCAGAGATGAGAGCAAATGTCAGTATATACAGGAACAAGCCTCCTGTGGCGACCCAGTGACAGCAAAAGCTAACGTTGAGAGACACGGTCTAAAATCAGAGACCAGAGAGCCATCTCTTTCCAACAAGGGGAAATGTGTAGGCACATGGGCCACTGAGCAGCTCCAATCACCATCAAGACCCTCACAGAGCCCTTCCTACAGGCTAGGAGGGCTGCCAGCAAGAATACGCAGACAACTTTGTCACTACCAGAAAATGCTCCAGAAAGGATAGCAAAGAACTCACCTCAGCTCTTCCACCATGTACCTGTGATCATCTAATTCCTGCTCCCTGACCATCCTGTGGGGCTCAGCTCGGGCTGCAGTTCTCAGGACCAGCTGACAGAGATGCTCAGCACAGGGCTGAGCGCCAGTGGGCATAGCAACGACTCAGCACCTATGAGGCCAGAAGCACCGAGCAGCCACGACACAGACGAGCTGCGCGGGAGGGCAGGAAGCTAGAGTTCCCATCCCAGAGTCTGTCACGTGCTGCAGGACGAAGGGAAGGTCACGACCTCAAAGGGAATGCTATTCAAATAAAGGATACTTTGCTCTCCAAGAGGGACATGAAGCAGACAAAGGTCCTATGACGAGCCTAACACAGGGAAAGTTCATAAACCAAAGCTATTATTTAATCAGGTGAAAGTCAAGTACGTCTCCCATTGATGACATCGCCTAGTGTTTTACAGAGACTAGAGGGAAGAGAATTCACAACATGCAGGCTGCTGCCTTCCTTTATACACAGGAAAACTGGACTCCTCAGTCGGGGACAGACGCAAGGTGGGCATCCCGCATTGTGTCCTTCTGTGCCATGGAGCACAAAAAAACGCTCATAGGATCCGACATTCAGTAAGAGACCGCTTTGTAAAACAGGTTTCCAGGAGGAAAAACCATGTTTGTATTCAACAGTCAAAGGTCTTGCCTATTATTTCCTGTGGTTCCTGGGGCTCCTTTAGTGACATTCCAGGCATTCTGCAGAGGAAGACTATAAACAATAGATTTTCCCCTCCTGCCCTTTCTTTCCCATGGTTTTCAGAACAAACCTTTCTCTCCCCAGGGTGACCCCACGCAAGCAGAATGGATGGGAAGATGGGGGAGGGGAGGGCGGTTTCCAACATGTGCAACAAATCAGATGATCCTTTGTACAGCCCAAACCAAGGAGGTGGGTGCTTTCTGGAGGCACAGTTCCTAGTTCAGGTCTCCTGACTATAATCTCTATGTTGACTGGCTCTCCGCAATTTTCAAAGAGGTGTAAAGTCTCTGTTCAAAGACTCCAAGGGGCGTAGTCAAAGGTTCTGAGGGATTGTGACTCAGCAGCAATTAACATCTTCAACCCCCTCCACACAGGCTATCTCTTAAGCCTCTATAATGGCCATTCTTTTATGAACTGTCATTTAAGCAAAAGATGGGTTGTGTGTGCTTGTTTTTAAGAATGGAGACAGTCCTCTGCTTCATTGAAAAAGAAGTTAAGGAGTGGCTGGCGCTGCCGTCCCTGTCCGGGGGCAGTTACTGCTCCTTAACAGTTTGCACACCACAGTGACGAAGACTGAGAAGCCAGAGCTTGGCAAATGGGAACTTTTCATTGACATCTGACCGCCAGGGAGCTCCTGCACCACTGTGCCCTGCACTCCAATCTTGCTCTAATGCTCACTATTTCAGACTGGACTCAACTCATTCACAGCATGGCCTATACTTCAGACTAAATGATGAGGCTCCAAAGCACCATGGCCAGACCTATGGATTTCCCAAAACCAGTGGTGCACTGGGATATACATCTAGTGTGCCCTGGGATAGACATTGAGTGTGCACTGGGATATA